AACTAGGTTTATTTATTTAATTTATTTTTAGAGGAGGTACTGGGGATTGAACCCAGGACCTCATGCATGCTAGGCATGTGCTCTACCACTTGAGCTATACCCTCCCCCTAGATTTCATTTTCTTGACTGCCATTGTTTTGAACTTGGGGAGAAAGAGAAGACAAAGGTGTATGCTCAGTCTAACCTTTTTCCAACTTACCTTCTTAACTAACACTTATTTCATTTCTGTTCAGCGGTCAGCCTAGGTCTTGGAGGTTAAATCTGTGTGAACTGCTAGATGCCGGTCTTTAACACTCAGGAGAGGGCTGATGTGTTGAGTTCAGTTACCCCCGGAAGCGCCACAAGGAAAGTGCTATGGAGTTCAGGGTCCTTGCTGAGCGAAGTCATTCAAGTCGACCCCGAGGAACTGGACATGCAGAGACAGGTGGGTAAGCAGAGAAGAGCAACAATGAGCTACTCTGGCTTCAGATGTGGAATTCATGACAGACCTTAGTCACTTAAAGTGATAAGGCAAAAAAATGTCAGACTTTTTTGCTTTTTCCTGATAAACTGAATGGAAAGTGTAATAGGAAAAAGATTCCTAGAGACTGAAAAAATCTATAGACAGAATACCTATCGGAGATCATTTATCACACAATTAGGGTCAAATGATAAACATGAATTTTCATCAGTATATGTGTGTATAGATAGTTTAATGTGTGTGTGTACACATCAGATGGAGATTCAGCACCAGGTAAGTCCTACTGCATTCTGATATGTTATGTTGTAAACTATATAAGTAAACTCTCCACTTACACTACCCGGACACTGTTTAAGCTATTTAACAGGCATTTAATAGTGTTTTATTACAAGAAAGTTTAATCAAACACTTCAGAAACTATTGATAAGGTATTTTTCAGGAATGGCCCATTCTTTAGACAGCATTTTCTGTAGAACTATTCAGATTCTTGATTGGCATAATTGTGGGGCAAAAGGTGGTGGCCCTCTACCTATGCAGTTAATCTTGCATCTTTTTAAATAAAAACATTCAATATTAAAAGTGATTTATTTATACTTGAAAATCCTAGCTGGGAAACTGGGGACTGAAAGGGTCAAGCCTGCTTAGCCAAGAGGAGTCCCAAATGGGAGTAACAAGCACGTAGGAGTTTTATCTGTATCCTAAAGGGATATGGATTTTTTTAAAAGGTTGAAAATGTGCTTTAGGATGGTTATAGGCCTAAAGCTTCCTGAAGACACTACGTTTGGTCAAAAGATGACCAGAAAAAGTATTTTGAAAGCTATAGCTTACGTCCCACGGCACAATATAGTAAAGAAAACTCAGCCTCACTCTGCCTAGCTCCGCTGATCATTTTTTGACATTCACCTAAAATGTAAGAGAAAAAGTATTATGAATTTAGCTTTTATTCAAAATTAAATAAGCCAAAGCGAAAAATTTAAGAAACTTTTACAAATTACTTACATAAAAGAAAATTAAGAGGGACAGTCACAAGTTTGCAACAAATAATACAAAAGTATCCAGGGCAGCATGAGTACAGACCATGTCGCCACGTGGTGCTCTAACTGTGATATGAATAAGGCAGAACTAACGTTTGCACCAAGACCAGCATTTCAAAACAAAACGAAACATACTTTAAAAGCTTAGTCCTACATTAAGCTTCTTCTCTTCCCTCAGATCCTTAATGAGTTTATACTATTTAATTTTTTTTAAATCAATACATCACATCAAACTATAAATTACATAGATGGGCAGTTAATGTGAAAAGCCCCCCTAAAATGTACAAACTAACTGGTACTGAACGGAGTTCTCTATTTACCTTTATGTACAGTTAAGTGTAAACCATATTTTCACAGTTTTAAGTGTTTTATGAATAGATGCACAGTACCAAGTCAGGTTTGCAATTGTTCCTGAAAACTGGCTCTAGGTTCTGCATCCGATGCCTGTAGGCTATTGGGATGCAAGTATTTACATAAATAAGAAACTGTGTCATAGTCAATGGTCAAGACAGTTCAGCAAAAGCGGTATTTCCAACAAAGAGTGATACTCAATACCATAGTTTACATACTTGTGCAAATATAAGCATTAGGACAGAGAAATCTGAGGCAAATTCAGTTTGCAAAAACTTGTATCGCTACTGTTGTAAACGTGGGCAATAAATGACCCTCGGCAAGTCCTGCTCTCTATGGCTTTTTTTTTTTCTTTTAAAATTTTAAAGCCAGAGAAAATGCACCCATTCAACCCACACATACACTCAACACTCACCCACATACACACACAGTTCTCATTTCATTTAGAGTATGGTACATAGTGCAACTTCATCACAATGTAGAGGTTTGACACACATTCAGTGTGTGTTTTTCTGTGCAAGTTCTTAGTGGTCTAAATCCTAGTTGAAGGTATTCGTTTGCAGAACCACACGATTCAGGAGGTTGAAGGGGAAAAAAAAAAGTTTCCTTACATTTCTCAAACCAGCACTGGGTGTGCGAAGGCAGCAGACAATCTGGCTGTCAGCACAGCCAGATTAGGGTAACTTCAGGGGAAGCTCCGAGCAGTTACTTAGACTGGTCTCTAGAAAAATAGGTCAGTATATGCTGTATCTTTGTCAAGCGTTCTTTCAAAGACCTCATTGACAAAACTGACAGCTGGTATCGGGGGTCGACAGGTAGGACAGCAAGAAGCCACCAACACCAGGCGGGTCCGTTAGGGATTGCCTAAAAATAATCCACATTGTATTGTGTTAATAAGAAACACTGATGTGATCACAGCAGTAACAAGCCACCACCTTGCTATTCTTTACTGAACTTTACAATGTCAGGTCCCATCTCAAATTTTTTAAAATTTAAAAAATTTTAAATTGAAGTATTTAGTTAACTTACAATATATGAGTTTCAGGTGAACAGTGATTTAATGTTTTTACAGATTATTTGCTGTATAAAGTTATTATATCCCTGTGCTGTACACTACATCCTTGTAACTTATCCATTTTATACCTCGTAGTTTATACCTCTTAACCCCTTCACCCATTTTGCTCCTCCCCCCCTCTGATAACCACTATTGGTTCTCTATATCTGTGAGTCTGTTTCTGATATGTTTATTCATTTTAGTTTTTAGATTCCACATAGAAGTGAAAACATAGTCTTCCTCTGACTTTTTCCAAGTATAATACCCTCTAGGTCCATCCTCCATCCATGTTGCTGCAAATGGCACAATTTCATTCTTTTTTATAGTTGAGTAGTATTCCTCTAAGTGTATGTGATATTTGTGTATATCTCACATTTTCTTTATCCATTCTTATGTTGATGGGCACTTAGGTTGTTTCCACATCTTGGCTAGTGTAAATAATGCTGCTGAGAATACTGGGGTGCATTTATCTTTTCAAATTAGGGTTTTCATTTTCTTTGGATATATACCCAGGAGTGGAATTGCTGGATTGCATGGTAGTTCTATTTTTAATTTTTCTGAGGAACCTCCATACTGTTTTCTATAGTGGGTGCACCAATTTTCACTCTCACCAACAGTGTGTGAGGGTTTCCTTTTCTTCACATCCCCACCAATACTTAGTTTCTTGTCTTCTTGGCAATAGCCATTCTGACAGGTAGGAAGTGATATCTCAACATCATTACTCATCAGAGAAATGCAAATCAAAACCACAATGAGATCACCTCACACATGTCAGAATGGCTATCCCAAATTTTTGTTATGGAGACATTCAGCACGTCTCTGACCTCTGTCTATTAGATGCCAGTAGCACATCCTCAGTTCTGACAGTCAAAAATGTCTCCAGATACTGCCACATATCCTATGGGGGCAAAACTGCCCCCAACTAAGAACTGATTTCTTAAAATAGACCAATGTGTCTTTATTTTTTAAATATATAATTAAAATTTCTTCAAATAATTGTGGAATCCTAGGAAGAATATAAGAACAAAAAAGTCTCAGCTTCCAGTTTCATTTGAGAAATAAACCTACCTCCAGCAAAGACGACCCTCTGATATAGCAAGAGCTGGTGACGGAACGAACTAGGACTGTGTTTACAAGAATGGAGTGTGAGGCACCTGCACTACACAGTGAGCTGCTGCTTACTGAAGCTGAAACATGTAGTTTCAGGATGACAGGAGGAGCTGCGATGTCAGCATTGATCTCAGCAAGCTCCTTCTGAAATCAAACTGGATTTCTGTCTCTGTATCCTCAGCACTTAGACATCAGACACTACATTTTCCACAATTCCCTCCCTCACATGGTTCCAGGTTACACTGACCAATGAGAGGTGCTCTTGTGAGATGGGGAAGTTGGGAGACGAAGCCACTGTTCCCTGGAGACTGCTGCCAAGTGTGGGCTGACGTGAGATTTGCAGAAGTTTTCCAGAGAACTCCTGAAAACCACCTGCTCTGCTACTGCAGACTGAGATACTAGTGGGGACCTCCCTGGGATTCCTAAGAATGACAGCAAGTCTCAAGTCGTAAGCCCGAGCTCTACTGTGTCAGGTGGAGATCCGTGGGGACAGATTCCCTGAGGTCCCTGATACTCCCTCCTCCTTCTCCCAACGGCTGTGCCAACTCTGCGTCCTCCAAACACCCCTCCACTCCTGGGATGTCAGAGTAGCTGCTTTTGTTTTCTTGAATGAACCATGACTGGTACAGTATGACTAACCAGTGGAAGGGGACTGACCAATAAAAGTGAGGGTGGTGGAGGTGATGGGAAAATAATGTTGAATTTTCCTACAGGTTGGTTTGTTAACATTTATTCAGCTACACAGACTTAAAAAAAATGAAATAATGTCATTTGTAGCAACATGGGTGGACCCAGAGATCACCATTCTAAGTGAAGTAAGCCAGAAAGAGAAAGACAAATACCATGTGAATGTAAAAAAAATGACACGAATGTACTTACTTACAAAGCAGAAACAGACTCAGAGACATAGAAAACAAACAAGGTTACCAGGGAAGGCTATATTGGGATCTGCACACACTAACTACATATAAAATAAACAAGGTCCCAGTAGACATAGCACAGGGAACTACATTCAGTAGGTTGTAGTAACCGGTAATAAAAAAGAGTATGAAAAAAAAGTATGTCATACCAGAGACTGACTATATTTCAATAAAAATAGTATTCCATTTTGTGCTCATCAAAAGCTATTCCTATCAAGTTCAATCAGATTGGGGTAGTCAGGATAAAACAAACATGGGGCAACTGATAACATGCTGGACCCAGAATGAGAACTCAGTCTGGAGTTGGTGTAATGTTGGAATTTCAAGCTCAGGTGAAGGATTCAACTGGGATTCAGGCGGCTTAGGCCAACCTTTGAAAAGCAGAATGAGAGGTGGGTCCATCCCAGTGGGATCCAGTCCCTCTCCATCCGACCTGTTCATGTACAGCTGTTCCTTCATGGAATCTAGTCCCTTCTGACCACAAACATTTTATCCAGCTCAATTAAAACATCCTCATGCCTAAAAGTTAGTGCTCTGGTGAGTCTGGAATCAGATTTTTCCCCAATAGGGACTCTTCTCTTGCACCCCTGGCAGTGCCCACAGCACAGAGTTGCTTGACCAGAAGATGCCTGGTGTGTAGTAATTAGATTAAGCTGCAATGTAAATCCTAAATTCCTGAGCAAGAACAGCATGAAGGGACAAAAATATGAGTGGCAGAGTACAAAGCTCAGGGACATGAGAGGGGCAAAAGATTTTTTGAGAGATACAGCCTTTTCTGTACTCTTAACTGTCAAAGACTTAACAGCAAAGCTAACAGCCTCAGAGGCAGAGCTGTCTTGTAGCCACAATTTACTAGATGGAACCCATGTCCCATTTTTAATTCCCTCTCCTTCCTGGAAAATCCTCAGCTGACCTGTTTCCATCCTCATCCCATGGAAGATGTAATGGATCCCATTATGCTAGAGAACATGGCCGTGAGTCTAAAGATAGGGGGAGGACAAAGGAATGCTGTGCAAAAAGATGGAAAAAAGAAACTTAAATCTACTAATTTGAGTTTAAACAAAAAGTGAGACTTTTGCAAACAGTATCAAAGCCATCATACCTGTAGGTTTTCCTCCCTTCCAGGCATCGATCCAAAGTGCTGAAGAATTTGGCTTCGAAATCTGTCTCTCAGATTCTGAAACCAGCCGCAGGCTTGAGAGTAGACCAAATCATGAAGCTGTCGGAGATTCTCTAGCTCATCTTCATCCTCAACCTAGAAATACAATAATCAGTAAGACACCTGTGTCCAATCTTCCCGTGCATACCACCAACCCTACAGAAATGGGGAAAAAAATTTAAAATATAGAGACTGCTTCTTCAGTGCAGGATCAGAGTATATTTCTGCCTCACGTAGTACCAATGGGCCAGACTAAGAACGACAGTAAGGCCTGACCTCCAGGCCTTGTTGAGTTAGCAGTGCAGCACTGCGATGGGAGGGGCAGGAGGGAGAGTGAGTTCTCAGAGGTCTTCCGGGATTGGGAATTCCTTTCATCTTTGTGGATCAATGGCTTTTGAAAGCAGTGGAACAAAGCAGAGGAATACAGCTGAGACAATAAAAGGAAAGACCAGGGGGAGGTTTAAGACGCAGATGACATGGAAGAAGCAAGACCAGGATGGAGGAGAAGCATTAATTACATCTTCTACCAGGGAACTGGGTTAAAAACAAAATGCAACAAATAATGTAGCATATAAAGCCAGAATATCAGAAGATAGAGAATACATTACAGCAGAAGTTCATCACTGCATGAAGGCCTAAGGCCGAGGCTACCTCCATCCCCTCTGTATGGCCTTCGGACTACCAGATCATCAAACTGCAAAAGTAAAATTAAATGTGCCAGCCTTTAACCCAGAAGAGTAGTCTCATAAAACACAGGTGTGAAGATGGAACATTAACCCAGCCATCTCATATTAACACACTCCTAGCCTACTCACTCTTCTACTTCATATACGTTAACATATCTGAGCAAGTGCCAGGCCTGAGTCAGCCTTCCAGGATGACTCAATTGAAAAACAACAGAGACTCTGAAAACATCCTAAGATAGAAAAGGTAAGCCTATAGCACACACAAGACAAAAGAACATACTTATTTTTGGAAGATTTGAAATGGAAAAAAAAAACCCAAAGTTTAAAAAGCATCTGCTTTTTCACAACAACGTCAAAGTCCTTAATACCGCTGACCTGTACACTTATATTTATTTTATCACATTAAAAATAAGATTGAGGAGCCACACGATTCCAGACTTTCTGGTCTTACAAAGGCTACACAAGAGTCAGTCCCCTGCTAACACACATTGGACATGATAGGAGCCAGAAATAAACTTGACTTGTTAAAGAGAGTAAGAAAGGAAAGTGTCTGCTTTCCACCCATACAAAATTCAAGGAAACAAACCATTGGCTCTAGTAAACAGGAAATGATAAGAGTCTGAGAGAAAAAAAAGGAGCTAAGAAGCAGGCAGAAGTTTTAAAGGCAAGCATTTAAAGTTATGGAACTTCACAGCAACAAAATAAGAATATAAAGTGTCATTAGACATCACAGTACTCTGAGGAAAAAAAAAACTGATAAAAAGCAAATTTGAGAAGCTTTTTCCGGAATGGACAAGAAATCATTATATAGATGAGGAACTAAGATGAAGAAAAATTAGACATTCCTAAGACCACAAAGATACAGAATTCACTCTCCTAAACATCAAATCTGTGATACTTTCAATGTGCTGTTCTATTGTCATATACTTACATACAGTTACATGTTTAGTCAGAATACTCAAGGGATTTTGTCAGCAAATCCAATATATAAAGATGTAGATTTAGATAAAACCAAAATAGGGTTATTAGTTTTAAGAATATCGCCTTTTGCAAATGATTCCATTAACCAAATGTGCCTAAAGCCTTATCAGTCAACTCAAAATTCCAAATGACTACATACTTTTGGCCCCCGGCACGAAGCAAAGTTTCCCCATAGTATCTTTATAAAAAGATAGGACAAGCAGTATCAGATTAATGAAGTTTATCAGCAGCGAAGCAATATGGTATTGATAATGATACAACGCAGCACTTTGAGGCAGAGAGCTGGCTTTAAATCATTTTTATTACACTACCTATAGGATTTTAGGCAAATGAACACTTCTGAATTTTACTTTCCTCATCTGCTAACTATCTTACAGAGTTTTGAAGATTCAGTGAGTTAGTATTTGTAGAAATGCCTAATGCCAACATTCAATAAATGTTGACTGACATGAAGGGCCCAAACAGATCAATGAACAAGCAACAGTATAACATCTATGTTTTTATAATGCCCTTCCAAAGGAAACTAATTTGATATTTATAGTATCAAATCATTTTTGTGGTACCTAAATTAAGTGTAGATGGTAAAGTAACTCCTGGAAAATAGCAACAAGGCAGCATTAATCCTATCCAAGAAAGTTATGACAATTACCCTCCCCTTGAAAGATACCACCAGTAATGACACTGACAGTGCTGTCTGTGATGCCCTGGGTTTGAACAAAGCACTCAACTCTGTCTATTAAGGTTATCTTCGGCATATATAGAACAATTGTTTAAGGATTTTATGTGTTTACCTTTACATCAGAGTTCAATCTGCTGATCACATCAAGCTTTGACTACTAATATATTCAATTAACAAGGGCAAGGGTTGGGAGGTTTCATAACTTAGATGGGTTGGAAGTTTAGTTCAATGCACTGCTATGGTTAAGTATGAACCATGCAAATATACTCAACGTTCTGGGCACGCTGCTGGTCGTTGGGCTGGTAGAAATGAACAGAATCTAGGTTCTGGTCTCCTGAGTTCTCTTGGAACTCACAACGATTAAGAGCAACATTAGAAAAAGGTAACTTGGAGCTACTTTGCCTAAGTATTGATGAGAGTCTCTGATAGGAAGAATTGGTTTATGTGCCCAGAAAAATCAGCCTGTATGCCTGTACAATACCTGGGACAGAGTACACCAAAGGGTGCTGAAAAAGAATAGTTTCTAATACCTTCACATCTTCCAGATATTCAATGTCTGCAGTGCAATATCCATCTTTCATTCCTCTTTTTAAAACCCTAAACCGCTTTCCTCCGACGGTATCAACCACAGACCTTCCATCAGGCAAAAAATGTACATTTCTAATTTGTAACATACAGCCATAATCTGCAAAACTAAAAGAAAAACTCAATTAATATCAAAGTTCAAGCAACAAGCATGCAAGTTCTCCACAATATTCAAAGAAAATTACAGAATCGATAAAAGTATTTACACAACAAGCATACCTATTTTGTGTATCACTGACACACATCCCAAATTGTTTAGTTCCAGTCTGTATACTTCTTCGAATCATCAATCTGTATCTTGGCTCAAATACATGAAGAGGGCAAGGCACAGTGGGGTAGGCCATAGTGCAAACAAATATTGGAACATTCTTGGTCAAGCTAAAGAAGAAAAAAAGTGTCATTATACATCAGAACATTCAACAAAAATAAGTAAAACTTGCAACAGTAATAAATTAATATGAAACAAAAAGAAAATAGCTCTAAACTCAGGTGATTTTTATTTTTGACAAGAATAAGAATCAGTATCCCCTTCATTTAAGCTCAAGTTGATGTGATGCTAATACTAAAAATCTCTGTGATCCTCTTACAGGTAAATTTGAATTTGAGATACCAGGTTATATAACTTTATGGTCAAAAAGCAACTGATGATAATTACTACTTTATACTACAGATGTGTTTAAACTATGACAGAGTTAATATCTTTTATTCATAAAACACTCTTACTCTTGGATAACAATAAGGAAAAATGAGCTCCCACAAAAGACAAAAAGCAAATTAAAAATTAGGCATTAAAATATTTTCATACTACCAAAAACAGATAATTCAATGAGATAACATTATTTCCAGGTAATGAAATGATACAACATTTTCCATTGCCAGATTGGCAGGAACTATGAAGGATACAGGCTTTGGCCTGGGTATGGGGAAACTGGCAGTGCGGGAGGCAGGGAAAACCGGAATAACCATGTTGAAGAATTTGGCTGCATACGTTAAAACTTACGAAAATGTTCGTATCCCTTGAACCAATAGGCTCACTTTTTTCCCTCCAAGTACTATAATGTTCAATGCAGCACTATGTATAGCAGCTGAAACTTAGAAACAAAAAGAGAGGCAAGTAAACTATGATGGAACCATAAAATGGGATGCTATGCTTGAATGTTTAAAGAGAAAAGGAGGTTATAGAATAAGAGTAAAATGATCCCATCTTTGTTTAAAATGTATTTACGTATGTTAAAATCTGGAAGGATGTATGCTGAAATGCCAGTGGTGATTCCCTTTGGGTTATAGATTATGGCTTTTTTCCCCTCTTCTCATTAATATTTTCTAGTCTTTCTTCAAAGAGACCAGAAATTACTTATGTAGAAGTAATATTTAATTAACACATGTTTAATATACAATCACTAGCTCCTCTACTTTTAAAACTGTATATTTTATCATCACTGAGCACTCTTCTTGGGAACATAAAACAACAAAAACCCAGTACGCCTATTAATTAGCAAAACTTACAAGTACTAGAGAATGAGTTACCCCTTAAAAAAACGGTCCTGTTAGTTAGCAGGCAGCAAGACTCCCTAAGGCCTCTCTCCACCACACTCAGGCTCCCTCATACCCCTGCTCCTCTGCCACTTGTGGAGTCCACTCTTCTGTGGAGGACTGGTCCTGTCACTATGCTTAAATATTTCAAAAGTCTATCTGCAGTTTTTTTATATCCTGCTTTTCTGCAGTGTTCAAAAAGGTTCTTCAGCCTCCCATCAGAATATTTTCCATCATAAAAATCACTCAATAAAATATCAATTCCAAGAGAAGACAAATCAGTACCAACTTATATAGAGAAAAGACTGGAAACCTTTCTTCTACTGCAGGCCTAGTGAAGATATTTGGTGGACACATACTGAAAAAGTCTACAAGCAAAATTACGTTTTCCTTAGGAAGTGAGAAATAGAAAATATTTATATATTAAAAAACAAACAGCATAAAAATTTACAATTTTGTTTAGTGTCCAGTTAAAAGAAAATGGGAAAAAATATTTAATAAATTAGAAACCCATGAGAAACTTGGAGACTCAAGAGATTCATGAAAGAGGTAAAAACATGAAGGGAGAAACGGGAAGAAAAGTAAAAGATACACACAGCAACAAAACCAGCTCAAACCTACCCAGCCTTGGTTTGCCCTTACGCTCTCAATACTGGTCTGCAGCTCTGAACCCCAAGGTTACCACCAGGTTTTCCACCTTCCTGGTGTGAGTCAGTTCTGCTGACAGTCAGTATCTTCAGTAATGGAGAATGTAGCCCGGAAGTCATCCCTTCCAATTTCAGTCTCAGGCCTCAAGGTCCCACCCACTTCCAAGCCTCTGATTGGCATCCTCAACCTTCCCCCTGCAGGGCTGTGACGTGGGAGGGCTGCAGTTTCCCGCAACCACTGCCCACCCCCCCAGCCTCTCCATTCCCAAATCCAGGGCCAGACATCACTGTAGGAAACCTGTCCTCCCCCAGAACACTGCGTCGGTGCAGAGAGCAGAGTCAGTTGTTCCCAACTAAACATCCAGAAGTTACCAAATGAACTTTTAGAAACTTCTGTTGAGGACGGGGAAGCTGACCAATATTCGTTTAAAATATGCCTTTGACCAGACTGGGCTGAACTAAAGGCAGAATCCAGCTTGCTGTGAGGAGGCTTCTCCTGCCTGTTTCACAGGGCAGTAGTTCGTAATTTGATGATGTTGATTTTTATGAGAAGAAACTTACTGTGAGAGTTCAGCAGTTTCTTCATCATATATTTTTTTTCTCTCAGACAGTTCATCAGGCAGATACTTCACTATCAAATCTTCCAACAGCTGTGTGACAGAGTACCTCCTATCTGCTAGATACTAAAAGACAATATTATTTTACACTCCAGTAACCTTTATTACATACTTATACAGTCAGTTCTGAGTTCATTAGTGAGGGGGGACATCACAACGGATGGTGCTGAACAGGTAAACCTGCCTGAGGTGTAGCTCAAGAGCATTAAAGGTACGTGGTTGTGGCTGGAATCAAGAACTGGATCTAAGACCCTTGTCTTGATGTGACCGCAGGTTTTCATTAGTGGCAGTCAGTGCCGACCTGTTATCTCCCACAGCAAAGGCCAATTTCCATCTGACAGTTCATGAATACCTGAAACTAGCATCTTAATTAAGAACAAAAATAAGGAATGAAGAAAATAATGCATCTGCCTTATTTAAGAAAAGCAAAATTATTCCCTCTTTTGTTCCCCATTTTAGTGGCAGCATTTCCAAGTAATTTTTCTTTCAGATTTTCCTTCCATTTTCATCCCACTATCACTCAGGCCTTTTATCAAGAGGTTGCTTTTCCTATATGATGCACCCCTTCCAGAAAATGGTACATTTGTACCACTTCCTTAATACTCTGAAAACTGCCACCCCTGTGCGATTTCGTGTTATTCTCTTCCAACTGCTAAAAGCCCTCTCACTCCTGCCTGTGAGAAGCCTTACTATCTTTCAAGGTCTGGCTCCAATTTTACCTTCTGAATAAAGTGTTCCTTAATTATTTTTCTGTCTCCCAAGAATCCCTTACCCTTTACCTATAAAAGGCTGTTACCGTACATACCCTGCACACCATATTACATGGAGAGGGATACCTGCTTTCTCTGTAATTAAACTAAAAACTGCATAGGGCCAGGGCCTAGGGCAGAATGTGTGTGCAGAATTTTGGACCAAAAAAACAATGCTCCTTACCAATTTAATAAAAGGAGTGAGGAAAAACTTCTGGGAGACAGTCACAAAGTAAGATAAAGGCAAGCCACCTTTCCTCTACAGACCCAGCAAAAATTAGGGTTTTGTCATTATCCAATGAAGAACAGAGTAGGAAGTGTTAATGGTGGGGAAATGGGTTTCAGGAGTGGTTTTTAAACTATAGCATGAATCATGGCTTGTAATCATGGCTTGTTAAAAATGCAGATTGCTTTGTTAAAAATGCAGAGCCCCACCCCAGAGTTTCTGATTTAGTGGCTCAAGTAGGGTCTGAGAATTTTTTTCTTTTTTTTTCCTTTTTAAAAAATCATTCTTTTATATCTTAATTCAGCAAATATTTATTAAGCATAGACTCTGGAACCAGAGTCTAGGTATAATTCAAACATCTGCCACTTAATAGCCCTATGCTATTATTTTTAATCCTGTTATTTTTTAATTGAAGTATAGTTGCTGTACATTATATGCTATGGGTATATAGTACAGTGATACACAATTTTTAAAGTTTATGCTCCATTTCAAGTAAAATAAGTTGCAGAAAGAGAAATACTGTAAGATATCACTTACACGTGGAATCTAAAGAAATAATGACAAGTTGTGAATATAACAGAAAAGAAACAGACTCACAGATGTAGAGAAGGAAGTAGTGGTTACCAGTGGGGAGAGGGAAAGGGGAGGGGCAAGATGGAGGTGGAGGATTAAGAGGTATAAACCATCAGGTATAAAATAAGCTACAAGGATGTCTTGTACAAAATGGGGAATATAGCCAATATTTTATAATAACTATAAGTGGAATATAACCTTTAAAAATTTGTGAATCATTATATTGTATACCTGTAACATACAATACGGTACATCAACTATACTTCAACTTTTAAAATATGTTGTAAAATAAATACATAAATAAAAATAAAAAAGGTTATGCTCCATTTATAGTCATAAAATACTGACTATATTCCTCATGTTGTTCAATTTTATTTTTTATTGAAGTGTAGTTTACATTGTTAGTTTCAGGTGTACAGCAAAATGATTCAGTTATACATCCATATGTGTGTGTGTATACACACATATATATTTTCTGATTCGCTTCCATTATAGTTTATTACAAAAAGTTGAATATAGTTCCCTGTTTTATACTGTAAGTCCTTATTGTTTATTCTATACATAGTAGTGTGTTATCTGTTAATCCCAAACTCCTAATTTATCCCTCCCCAGCCTTTCCTCCTTTGGTAACCATAGTTTGTTTTCTGTGTCTGTGAGTCTATTTCTGGTTTGTAAATAAAATTTATATCATTTTTTAGATTCCACATATAAGTGATATCATATGATATTTGTCTTTGACTTACTTCACTTAATATGATAATCTCTAGGTCCATTCATGTTGTTGCAAATGGCATTATTTCATTCTTTCTATGGCTGAGTAATATCCCATTGTACATATTTGTCATAACTTCTTTAAGGATTTGTATTTCTAACAAGTTCCCAGGGGACACAGATGCTGCTGGCCAGGGGAACATACTTGGAGAACCACTGGACTATAGCCTGGAAAGAAGTGCTCTTGAGCAGAGAATATGTAGACAAATAACTGAAGAATTTATTATAAAATTAAGCAAATTACAGACATAAGAGCAATTTTATTCCCATTTTCTATTAAATCAACAAAGATGTTTTAAAATTTATAACTAATCTATTAATTTGGGAAATACAGCCTCTCTTATGTTACTGGTAAGAGTCTAAATTTGTACATTTCTCAGGACCTAGGCAAGCTGGCAGTTGGTTTTTAGAGTCTTATAAATATATGGCCTTTGACCCAGTAATTCACCTCCCAAAAATTTATCATAAGGAAAGAGTCAAAGACAAAAAGCACAGTATACTTAAAAATAAAAATAAAAAACCTAACGTGCCCAACAATAGGAAAATGTTATATCATTGGACTAGTTTGCTGCTACAAAAATCAATCTTTAAAATGTATTCAAATGAAAAAATGAGCAAAATAAAATGACACATAGGAAAAGCAGAAAATTGTAGAGCATATCAATTTTACTTTTGTAAATATATATTTAGATTTTTACCAATTACACAGGGTGTCTTGGTGTCTTCAGTGTCAGGACACAGGATAAAGTTATTTTTAAACAGTATGTTAGTTATGTTTTTAAATAACAATTATTTCATTTTCCTTAAAACTCCAGACATTTTTTTAAGATGAGACATCTCTAAATTTAAATTTAATGTATCTAAATTTTAATCTAAAAAACCAGCATAATACATGAAAGTATATAAAAACTCTGGGAAATCAGGAAAGACAGCATGTTTAGGGTACTTCACCTGAAAACACTTGAGTATATTAGCTGAAAATATAACTAACTCTTTAAGAATAATGAGCTTTTTACCTTATGTTTCCTGACTTTGTGAACATTCTACATGTGGTCTTGTGTTTTACTACACATAGGCCTGCTATATTACGGCGAACATAACAATACACATGCTATGATGATATCTGTACATATGAGCTATGTTTCCTACACAGGAAATAACCATGTATTTTCAGTAGCAAAATGGTTTTATCAATTTCTTATTCATATTTGGAAGACACTTTTTTTCCCCAAACAATCCAGAGACAGACTCAATCTCCCTGATCAATGCTACCACTGCAATCGGAGCTCAGAATTATCAGGCTTTGCCTTCAGCTTTGGGGATCTCCCATCATTGAAGCACAATTGAGAGGGTGCTGCCCCCCACTGGTTACAGAAGGTACCACCTGAGATCCACTACTCTAGCAGGTGGTTAGTGTGGATCACTGACTATACGAGGATGAGTGTGGGAAGCTGTGCCTCCCTCTCTCCTTGCCAGTCCACCACTTCCTACAGCCGTGCGGCCACTACTCACGTGTGCCTAATTAACTGTAAACTAATAAAACGAAGTTTAAAATACAGTTCCTCAGTCACACTAGCTACACTTCCACACACATGGCGAGTGGCTACCATGCTGGACAGCATACAGAGCATCTCCATCAATGCAGAAAGTTCTATTGGACAGAGTTGTTCTAGACGTTAAGGGGCTGGGACCAGGCCTGAGATCTAGCCTATTACTGGGGGTGTGAGGCAGGGCAGCTGGGTTTCCCCAGTACTATCATCATGAAAATTCAATATATTCCTGATCGGGTACTTGACCACACCTCCTGTGTTAAAAAAAAAAATTAAGTATGGGGGCTTGGTCTCCAGAACATGTCTCCTTTCTCCTATCCCCTCCAAATGTGCTTTTCTCTGACTCTTGCATGTGGGGTAGTGAAACATGATCCCTGTTGGTCACTTAGCATATATAATATAATTTATCCTAAACATAATCATCACTATTTTTATGGCTGAACAGAAATCAAACGATGTTGCCACACTTAAGACCAATAAACAGGTAAATATAAAAATGTTTACCTCTTTTAAGCTTTCTTTGCAAAGGGGACAATACGGTGTGTGATCTAAACAACGCTCAAGACAATTCTTACAGAATGAATGTCCGCAGGGGGTTGTTACTGGCTCAAAAAACAACCTGAAATCAACCAAAATACATGTTAGTTTTTATATTAAACTATCCATTGGGAAAACTGAACAAAGTAACAGAACCACAACACTAATCTTTATGTAGAGGAGGAGGAAGGAGGGTGCGGTGGGCAGCAGAGAACTGAACGGGTGGTGGTAAATGCAGTTACATCCTCCTGAACCTTTAAAAGTTTGCAACCAACAGAGATTCCTGCTGGGGGCCTGGAGCTCTACTGACTAGGACAACTGCCACTCACGTGGCTGCCACACACTTGAAATGGAGCTGGTCCAGACGGCGATGTGCAGTACATCTAAAAACCACACCAGACTTCAAAGGCTTCTTGCAAAATAAACTATGTAAAATATATCATTAATACTTATTCACTCATTTTTATATAGATTCTTATTTTATCGTCACTTTCAAATTGGCTTTCTTTATAAAATTCATTAAAAATAATCCACTAAATATTACCATTGAATCCTAAAGAAATTTAAGGCTTAATACCAGATGTTGATACTCAAACAATATGGAAAAACTAACTTCCCATACATTATAATTATTTCCTGAAACATGATACTACAGAAGTTCCTAAAAGTATTGTTAGAGGTATAGGTACTTTGGAAATTGTCTGGGTCTAATCCCCTACTCTAACAGATGAAGTAGTCAAGACTCAGAGTTAAGGGATTCATTCAGAAATACAGCTCGTCACTACTGGCCTGGTGCGGCCAACACTGGGTGCTACGCGCAGTTCTCTTGCCTCCCCCCACAGTTCATGTAAATGGAAAATGTTCTTTCAGAACTATCAGTCTCAGAATTATAAGCATTCTATATAACGGAAATGCTTGTATCCAATGTTACTTAAAAAGGATTTTAGATTTAAGATATAAAACAAGACAGAATCACATACACACGTCATTAGAATTCTTACCCAAATCTAAAACCATGGATTTATCAGTGTCTCACTAATAACAAAGAAAGCTTTTATAGTACAATTTCCCCAGATACTTTTTATATCTTAGTCATTTGACTCTTAAAAGGCTGCAATATAGGCTATGCAAATCCTGACCCCACTTTCTAAGTAAAGAAAAGCTAATAAATAAGGTTCAGAGATTGCATTATATGCCCAAGAAGTGAAAGGGAAACTAGGACTAAAGTTTGTATCTTTTGGTTTTTAATCCAGTATTCTGTTAACTTCACGTTGCCTGTTATTACAGAGTAGATTATGTTTATCTACTCTGTATTTTATTTACACTAATATAAAATATTCATCTTTATAAAATTTCACATACTTACCTCATGCAGAGGGAACACTCAAAATCTGAGACATCTATTAATTCTTCTGGGATGTCACCGTAAGTTAATGAAAACGTAGAGACTTCATTGGGAGTTTCTGTTAAAAAAAAAGAGAGAGGGTGATCTTCTTTAGGAAAAAGTTTGAAGGCCATTCTAAATAAACCAGTGTGTTTTATGAGTGTGGTGCAATTTTTACCTCCCTGTCTTTTCAGCTTATTTCTTCCATCTTCATTTACAATCACATCCTGGTCTAACAGAGACAACTTTCTTTTCAGCAGAACACCTTTCTCCTGAAGAGATAGTAAAGGTTCTGAGGACACTCTTTTTAAACAGTCCTCTCTGGCAGGCATTTCTGTTGAATTTATAGCCTGTGTTGACCGAGCCCGGTTTAAGCTTCCTTTGACAAGCTCCGAAGTGACTGCTGCTATGTTTTCACTCTACAAAAATACAATACACAAGAGTAACTCACTGTATTTCTTTACAATCCTATTGCTCTCGCCAAGAATCAAACTGAAATAAAACTTTGATGTCTTATAATTTAACAACACCAACTTTTAATTCTAAAACCCTGGCAAGTAAATGATTTTTGCCAGTACTTACATAGCCCTGGACATCAGCTGATTTATGTTATAATGAGGTTTAAGTAGTTATGCTAATATAGTTGTTCCTTTCCTCAAGGAAATTAAAATAATACAATGTTTTATATTTCCCAAGACCTTGAAAGTTTTCTGATGCTCAGGTGACTTAACATTGCGATTAATAAGCAAATATTTTACATAAAAGTTTTTAGTGTAAAATAAAAGGCTACAGATGAAACCCTATTTAGACAATGCTTACTAGGTTAATAGTACCTAAAGAGAGTCTAATACTTGAAACCAGGAAAGTGAAGATCATAACCCATAAAGAAACAGATACACTAAGCCTGTGATCATCTTTTCCTCACCCTCTTACCTGCTCTGGGCTAAGCTCACTGGCAGAGTGAGACTCTTCCATTAATGAAGGAAAACCAAAAGGTTTGTTTTTAATACATGGTAATGAACTCCAGGAAGAGTCCTTCAGACCTTCTTTTAAGTTTTCAGGTGATAATAAATCACATAAAATCTGAAAGAGAAATATTGTTAAAAGTAATGTAAAGTATAAAATATTTGGTAATTTAGTATAGTTACCTAATATTTAAGAATTTTTAGAAAATGTATAGCAAATTTATAACAGCTTCATATGGAGTATAACCTATAAAAATGCCAAATCACTATGTTGTACTCCTGAAACTAATGTAATACTGTAAGCCAGCTCTAGGTCAATTTAAAAAAGAAAAAGAAAACTTGTAGCCAGCATTATTTTAATAAGCAGAGAAGGAACAGATGAAGTGAAAACCAGAGCTTCCATGATGATGAAAAAAGTCCTGCAAAACCAAGGGGTGCCTGAATGGGGTCAAATCACCCCAAAGAAACCAATCAGAAGGGAGGTGTGGGGGTGGTTAGACTGGTGGCCTGCCAAGGTGCTCAAGGTAAAGGTAGACGTTTTAATACAAGGTTTGTAAAAAGAAGAGCTCTTAAGAGAAGTGGAAAATACCTATCTCTGAATATTAGCAAGCCTCATCCTGTCAAAACAGTTCATAGTTCATTCCAATGTATATTTTAAGGCTGGACTTAAGAGTGTTTATGTGAACTTGGACCTTTAACTACAAAACTCTAAAATTCAATGTGTTTACACTGAATTTAGCTTTTCCCTCAACAAGGGACCTGCACAGGCAATTGCCACTGCCCAGCTTGGGTGGTCACCACAGGGCAGCTGTCCCTTATGGAAGGCAGCTGCAGAATCCAGATTTCTGGGAGCTTCTCTCAGGAATATGTCTAAAACTCTCAAGAATCGGGGTGGCTGAGACAGGAAGAACCTGGCTAGAAGGAAATGCAAGGGATTCAAATTGGTCCAATAAGCTATGTGTACATGTACAGCAGAGCACTTTTTAAGTCTCAATTTGGAGGTTTGGTTTTTCAGTTGTGCTTTCTCTCAACATACAAAAATCAAAATTATTCATGACTCGTTACAATATAAAGAAAGAGGAAACATATACAATGTCAACAAAAGTGTGCAAGTGTGCATATTTGGTAGGTGCTCAAGCAATACCCCATTTACGGAACAGACATGTAAATATTTGGATATGTTTTTACATTTCCCCTGGTTAAAAAAAAAAAGTATTAAACACACAGCTACCCTAGAACCTAGCAACTCCACTCTTATTTACTGAAGAGATAAAAAAAACCTATGTCCACAAAATGACTTGTGTAAGAATGTTCACAACACCAACTAGAAACAATCCAAATGAAAATCACCACTAACTGTATCACAAATTGTGGTATGTGTATACAATGGGATGCTTGGTGAACAATGAAAAAGAAAAAGTACTGGATGTATCTCAAAAATATTATGTTGAGCAAAAAAAAAGCCAGACACAAGAAAGTCCACACTGTGTGATTCCATGTATACGAAGGTCTGGAATAGGCAGAGCTGTTCTATGGTGATAGAGATCTCAGCAGTAGTGCCCTCTGGAAGCAGGGAGATAGTGGCCTTGCTGGAAAGGATACTAGGGAACTGTCTAGGGTGATGGAAATATTCCATATCTTGATTTGGGTGCTATTACATGAGTGTATAATTTCTCAAAACTCACTGAACTATAAAATCCATGCATTTGATTATATGTAAATTGTACCACAATTTGCAAGAAGCATATTGGGGAAAAACAAAGCATTAGTTGTTTTGCATTCACCTGACCTTATTAACCAACAAATATTTACAGAAATATAAGGATATCCAGCAGCATAGAAAATGCAAAATCATAAGCCTCTAAAAAGTCTGCAGTCTCACCAGGGAGGTAACACTAGCAATAGAGAATACTCAGAAAACACAACAGTAAACCATTTTTTGTTAAATTGGTGGGTTAGAAAGTATATGCCGACAAACCTCACAAGAGAATATAGCAATGTTAGCTGTATTCATAGGCATTTGGGATCTGAGAAAAATTTGAAAGCTCTCATACTTCAAGGTACATAAGAATTTCCCAAGGTGCTTGTTAAAACTATGCCCCAATTCTAGAGATTCTAATTCCAAAGATCTGTGGTGGGGCCCAGGAATCTTTGTGTTTACAATGCACTCAAGGTGATTCTGACAAAAAGCTACATTCTTAGAAATACTGCAAAGGTGATAAATAATGTGGCATGTTTAGGGGACACTGAGGAGAGCATCGTGACTGGGCACTGAAATTGTCTTAAGGTAGATTCCCTCCCCCAAGTTTTTTTTCAAATACTAGTCTTCCCAGATGCCTTGTGAGTAAATTTGACAAAAGCTGAATGTTATTGTCATGCTAGCAAAGCAAAAACTCTGAGAAGGTTCTGAAGAAACCTGTTTAATTGGTTTAACCCAGTGTTTCCCAAAGTCATTTGATCACAGAACCCCCTCCCTTTTTCCTCTTAAACACCTACGAACACACCACTGAACAAACTTTGGAAAGTGATGTATGGAGTACTGAGAAAATTATGGCAAAACAAATTGAGTGCAGCAATACTATTGCAACCATGGAAAGCAAGCGAAGTTTAGACCTGAAGTGAAAGGCTAAGGGAAGCCAATAAAAATTCCTGAGCAGGAACATCATAACAACAGTGTTTAATTAAGGATGATTAGTCTGGCTCCCATGGAACAAACTATTAGAGAACATTTAAATTTAACTAAGCAAAAATAATGCATTTAACTATCTCCAAATGAAATGTTTTTATTTCAGTAAGAACGTAAGACATTAAATAGATGAATCTGAAAACCATTTGTCAAACTGCTACTAAATTTGACTTATGGACACTCCTTACGTTCTCACCCCAAGTTTCTAATTAGCATCTTTAAAAAGACCTGTGTTGTACGTAGACCTGTCTTGAAGTATTACAGTTGGTAAACTGATTACCTTTTCTACTTCTAGCCGTGCGGGTGCAAAATCTTCATCCAGCGCTAAGCACTGAAGAAACAGTTGTAAGGCATCACCTAAAAAACCAGCATCATGGAGGACTTTTCCTTTCCTGAAGTAGACCTTCAATAAAAGCACATATACACAACTTTTACTGATAGAAAAATTTTTTTAAATCAATATCAAGAAAAAAAGTCTGCTCAGAAATGCTCATTTTGAAACTCTAATGACTCTAAGAAGTCCAGTGCATTTTAAAGGCATATTTACACCCTACCCTGGAGAGGCACTAATGGGGGATCTGAGGCCCGAAAAGGACTCCAAAACCACATTTCTAAATATGTGATATAAGTCCAGAGGGTTCTTTCCTTTTTAACAGTTTTAAAGTTGTCCATACAGATCATTTTCCCTCTTATTCTTAACATATATTTGATGTGCACTAACCAGTCATGCCATCATGGGATTTTGCATCATTTTCCATATTAATTCATAATTTTTAGAGCATCCGTATTATACTGTCTTCAAAGGCACAGCTTTGAATGGAGGAAAGTCACATAAAAGAAAAACTTCTAGTTTAAAGAACATACATGGGAGATGAACTGATTTGGCTTGGCAGTTTGATAAGAAGGAGAATTAGTAAACTGATCATGTATGGCAAACATACCGCAAGTCTTTTTTAAAACAGCAAAGGCAAGGCAACCTGCTTTGCTCCCATCTGTGAAATCACTGCCTCATCACCTAGTTCTGTTACAGCGCCTCGGTCAGTTGTTCAGCCTCAAGGACTTCTTTCTTTTAATAAACCACCTCCACTGATAACCAGTTTGGATTCATCTTCACAATATGGCCAAGTTGTATCTCTTTGAGGAAATGCTGTATACTAAAGTCTACTTTTTGTGTGTGTGTGTGTGCCTTGAACTCAGTTAGGAAACAAGGTTCCTTAATAGTTTAAAAAACAGTCAGATGATATTCACCCACTCAAAATATTGACCTTAGATTTCTAAAATTCTATATATTTTACTTAAAGAATCAACCACTCCATTCTGTTATAACTTACAACCATAACTGAATGCATGTTCCTTACAGTTGAAATTTTTTAATGTATGCAAATGTAAAACAGTAATTTTACCTCAGGCCAATCTGGCAGTTGAAAGAGAACTGCATTTAAATCTTCTATAGCTGCCTTAAACTCTTGGAGACCAGCGTATGATTCAGCTCTGTAAATTTTCAGAGTCAAGTCGTTGGGTTCTGAAATAAATATGTTATGAAGGTTTGATTATTTTTAAAAGATTGTTGTGTAATCCACAAAGTACATCATACTAGATTAAGAACTGACTTAGTGATCCTAGTCAATAACCACCAAAGTCAAGGTACCGAACCAAGCATAGTACATGTGCAACCCACTAACATGCTGAAATTTATCTATAAGTTATATCAGAGCATTGTGAGTAGATTATTTTAGTGGAGGAAGTTATGCTAAAAAGCTGAAAATATTTTTATAATATGAATAAGCACCCCTAAGAAAATAACTGTTTTCTTAAAATAGGTCATTCTGTAAAGGTTTAAAAGACTTAACGTCTCAGATGTTTAGAAGATTTGCCTTTTTGTGGTAAATCTTACTTTTCTATACCTCGTTTCAAAGTCTTCATTTATAAAGGACCATATGTGTAGCTATTGCACGTGGAATCCCCAGAGTTACAAAAATTGACCAAGGCATAAGCTTACGAGGGTACACAGTGGTCCTGCTTCTGGAGGAAACGGGTTCTAGAGGAAATGAGTCAGCTTTCTCAAGAGGGAAAAAATTTTAATTCCTGCCATTAATAAGAACAGTATTGGACAGTCCCAAAACAGACTGAATTTCAAATATTTAAGGGAAAAAAACTCTGTTGATAATTTCACCAGGTGCTGTGTCTCTATTTGAGAAACCAAACTAGTATCCAACAGCACTCAAAATTTCAGGCACTTAGTCGGTTCATTTATACTATAATCAATCACTACAGGTACACAGATTACTAAAACTGAAGACTAAGCCAGAAACTAATTTTCAGTACATCTACAGATGACATTAACTAGACTCTTTTAAAGTTATTCATCTTTGAAAGTTTCGAAAATGTACGCTAATAAAATAAAGCATGCATTGTGGGAAGGGCATAAAGTCCATAGTGCCTCATTATTTAAACAAAACAAAACAAAACAAAAAACCTCCGCTCCCTGATTTACTCTAGTTTTTAAATGACTGCTTTTCTTCAGAAAACTCTCGATTTAACAATTAAATTAGGCCTTTTTCAGTTGCTGGTGCCTGAGAACTGGAAATACATGGTTCCCTCAAATTTATACCAATGAAAAATTCCAGAAATGGAAAGCTCCATAAGATTAATCAATCAAGAACGAAGAGTCCTAGTACAGAGCCAGACCCTGGAGCAGTTTACAGTTTTTACTTTAGCCCTGTCTTGGAGGAGCTTACAGTCTTAACTAAATTCAATTTTGTTGTGAAATGGCGTCATGGGATCTGGATTTGAAAAGCGTGACTGGTGTTGGGAAATGGAGAGCGGCCCGTGCCAAACCGTCCAAGGAGGAGTAACCAACGCAGCAGCAGCCAAACCCCGGACCTGGAGATGACGGCAACGAGGACGGGCAGTTTTCCACCCACAGCTGGGGTGCTTCCAACAGCACCCTGGGGACCGCGTCTCCGCTCCGGCACCCCAGAAGAGAGGGGGCTCGCGGTCCAACAAGCAGCCTACTCCACACTCAGTTCGCTTACTGGGCTTTCCTCCTCCTCACGTGTTTTCTTTTACAGCCGGTCCCCACAGCGTGGTGCTGGATGCAGGGCACCTTGGGAGCTCGTGTACCGCACCCTCTGAGCAAGGCCTTCACTGCTCTGTGATCCCCCTTATGCAGCTTCTTTAGGGCAGCACTGAGGGAAGGGGCTGAGATCTTCGGCTTTAAAACACCCTGTCCATCTACCACGCTTCTCCACTCCGAGCAAAGCAAAGACATTAAAAAACAAACAACCCCAAACTGTGTCACTCTCATCTCAAGGCACTCAGGCTATGGAGACTCCCTAAAAAACGAGTGTTCTGGAGATAAGAAGAGAGGTATACCCCACAAAGAGATGACGAGAGGGTCAGATTTTAAAACTCTGCTCCCCAGTTCCTCCTGGGTTGTGCTTTCCTTGAGAACTTCAAATGTCAATGGAATACTTATTTTGACTGACTCTACTGGGGGGAAAACCCTCATCAAGTTGAGTTCAAACTCCCAATATGTTTTAAAAGAGATTAGGGCCATACCATGTATTTCCTTCAAATCCTTCTTAATTCAAAAAAAGAGCCAAATGCACCCACTGAGGCCCTTTGAACAGTCAAAGCACACAGAATGTCTGCCTTCAGTGTCAACTTTTACGAAAAGCAACTGTGGAAAAAAAAAAGGCAATCAGCCCTGGGTGTGTCATTAACTCAAGTTTGAAAGAGGCAACAAATATTTACTGTCTGCTCTCTACCTGGCCCTGTGACACTGGAATGAACAAGTCACCTCCATGCACAAGCCACCAGGAAGGAGCCTGCCTCTCAGTCCACCACTGCAGGTATGCGGTTCCTGGCACATTATAGACTCAATCTGTTGAAAAGTGACAAAATATCCCCATGTAATTTGGGCTAACTGTACTGAGCATGACTTAACTCCCACACCTTTATCCTCAGTCCTGATTTTTTTTCACCCTACCTTCAGCTGCATCAAAATTTCCAAAAGCCTGCTGTGTTTTTCCTCAAACTCAGTACACTTCCCACTTCTGACCCCTAATAAAGGTGTCTGTTCACTGTATTCTGTTAGAAACACCACTGATCCCGAAATCAAACCTTTACCTTGGTCAACTGTACCTCCTATGTTATTTCTGAAATCTGGCCCCAGTCTTATCCAACCCTACTGCTAATAGCTTTGGTTTTGGCTTCCAAAATATCATTAAGACTATTGCAATAGCTTGCTGACCACACACCCTGCCTCCAGTTTTACCTATATCCTCACCATCCACAGATCAATACCCAAGTTTAGCACAACACCCAAGTTTCTTCCCACCTGGCTCCTGCCTATCTCTGCAGCTTTACTTCCCATCAGTATGAACCTCCCACTTGAAGTCCCAGCAACTCCTAACTCCTCACCCTACCCCACGCATGCCATTCTATTTCATCCTTCCTTTCTCACCAAGCTCCCCCCTTGTCATCCCAGTCCTTGTGAGAGCACCCCAACTCCCCTTGATCTGGATAACTTTCTCTCATCCAACAAAACTCAGTTCAGTCACTTTTCCAAGATGCTCTCCTTTGAGGCTACCTCCACTCAGCATCCTGAGAGCACGAGCCTGGAAGTCAGACTGCCTGGGTCCAACTTCTGGCTCTACTCACTTGCTGTGACCTGGGCAAATTACCAAACACCTCCATACCCCAGTTTCCTCAGCTATAAAACTGAGTTTTTAAAAAAATTATTTTAAGAAACTATATACCATTCTAAGTGATTTACAACCTTCAGAACAGTATTATGTGGGTATAACATTGTCTACATTTTAATAGATAAACTGAGCACAGAGAGCTTAAGTAACTTGCCCTAGACCAAACAGCTGGTAAGTGGTATATTCAAGATGCTACCTCGGGCAGCCTGGCTCCAGAGTTCTTGCTGTTCACCTCTGTGCTAATAACAGTATCCACCTCACAGGTTACTCAGGAGACAGAGTTAATGTGTGCAAAGTACTTAGAACAGGGCTTGGTACATGTAAGTACTATTTAAGTATTTGCTATTATGATTATGTTCCTCCACTGTATGTGTGTAGCATTTATTCATTTTAAAATCTGGTTTTGAGACCCTCTGTTATTTACTGTCTCTCTATCCTCAGATTCTTGCTTTGATAAATGTTTGCTAAACTGGGGAATTTCATTAAAATCTATCCCCTTCAGCTCCTCAGTTCATGCCCTCATTTTCCCTTCTCTTTGACACAGTTACATTGTGAGTTGTTAGGCAAATAAAAAGACTGAAATAAACTTCTGCTACACATCTGAGGAAACCAGTCTTAAGCTGTCCAAGGCACTTCATGGGCTGAGGAGGGAGAGTTCTCCAGAGTGGGGATTCCTTCTCTGTGTTCCAATCCCTAGGGATATGTGATTAGCAGTAATAGTGTACATGTCATTTATTTATTTCATCTTCAAGAAACTCTTTTTAAATTATCAAAGCTATAAAATGTTACTTATAAACTTTGAAAAATAACAGAAAATTAATTAAAAATCCTTTTACCACCACAAAGAAATTCATTAAACTCTATCCCTTATGTTCCTCGATTCATGCTCTCATGGACTGAAAAACCACCAGTGTGGACATATGACTATGCTTTTCCCTGTGTGTATAGATTACATTTTTAATGTATTGTTTCATGAAATATACCATATGTACTGTGAATAATCTGCTTTTTTGTCCATGATTTTTAATGGCTGCAAAGTATTCTACTCTATACACCATCTATTTAAAAATTCCCTATTCTAATTTCTGCTAATATAAAAACTACTGCAATGAACATCTATAAGCTTTTATATCAGCTTATTTCCTTAGTTATTTTCTATAAAGTTGAATGTGTAGAAAGTCATAGAGATATACAGTCTTCATTACATTCTGCTAATCCTCCTTTTATAAAAACTTATTTTACACCCCCAGAAGCTCTGTATTTTTGTTCCCTAGAAAACAAATGAAAAATAGCATCATTGTTTTCATGTGCATTTCTTCAGGGAGTTTAACCTTTAAAACTATATATTTATTGACTAGTTGGATTGTTTATGTAATTCCTTGTTCATATCCTTTTTCTCATTCCTCTGAGTGTCTTTTACTTAGATTTATTTGCTGAGCTATTTCAAGAATCCAGTGGCTAGCCAAAATACCAAACTCCTTTGCTTTTATTCCTTTATCAAGTTCAGTATGGCTTGGTTATCAAGTTCAGGACTTGGTTATCACAGTTAAACTAAGAGCTGCCAATTGACAAGCTATTTAGTGGTTGATTAATAAAGTTCAGAAATGGTAATTTGGCATTCTGCTTTAGATCGTAACCACTGGATTCAGAAGATCTGGGCTCAGATCCATGTTGGATCATTTACCTAACTCTTTGAACCTCAGTCTCGTCACCTACAAAATGCTAGTGATAAACTACACCTTCAGACTGTGGTGTGGACTAAACAAGATCACGCATGTTAACAGTGAGCACAGTGCTCAATAAATAAGTTACT